GCGGGCTTCGCGGCCGCTGGCTTCTTCCTCAGCTGCGTCGCCTCGGGCTCGTCCGAGGTCTCCCCCTGGGCGCCGTCGCCGCGGCAGCTGCTGGCGGCCGCTGCTGGCCGCTTCATGGGCCCGCTCTTCTTGGGGACCTCGCCCTGCGCCAGGTGCCAATTGTTCTTCTCCTCGACCAGGTTGGTCCTCTCGATCTTGCCAGCAGCGTAGCTCTTGCCCAGATGGGTCATGAACATCTTCGCCTGCCCCTCGTCCAGCGTCGGCGTCAGGATCATCTGGCGCCGCTGCCACTTCGCAGTGCCCTTCTTCTCCCGCAGGATGATGCTCCTCTCGTCCTGCCTGCGGTTGTACTTCGCGAAGAAGTCAGTGTCGCTCTGCTCCACGCTCCGCACCTTCTCGAGCTGCTCCGTGGCCTTCGCTGGCTTGCCGAGCTTCTCGAATACTTCCGCACTCAGGCCAGCCACCTCCCACTCCTGCGACGTGCTGCCGTCGACGCTCTTCCAGACTGCGACGACGCCGCCTGCTCTAGGCTTGACCGTGGTGGCAAGCTCCTTGAAGGTGCCGTCGGCTGCTTTGCGCCAGGCCGTCTAGCGATCGCGAGAAGCGCCGCCTTATCCCCCATCGTCCTCATCGAGCCAACCCTCATTTGACACGCGACCCTTCCTCCTCTCCTCCTTCTCGTATCTCTGTCTTCCCCCCCCCTCCTCCTCCTTGTCCCTCCTCCTCCTGTTTCTTCTTCCTCTGTCATCCTCATCCTTCTCCCTATGTCCTCCTCTCCTCCCATTCTCCTCCTCTCTCAATCCTCATTCTCAGCATCAAGCTGCGGGTGGTCGAGTATGAGTTCGCGTATGAGTTCGCACGAGCCCGCGTGAGTTCGCATGGGTTCGTGCGAGAGGTCGCATGGGTTCGTGCGAGCCCGAGCGCGCCCATGCGAGCCATCGTCAAGGCTCGCGCAGCCACATCCGGATTCGAATCCCCGTCCGAACTCATACGACACATCCGAACTCATACGGCACCATGGGAATACGACGTCTTCTGAAAAAGGGTTGGCTGGATAAGGAAACGGGGGGGGGGGGGGCCCTTCTGGCAACCGCAACCTGATGGTCCTCGTCCCACCCGTATATGTACTGCGCAGCTGGCTTCTTCATGGCCGCTGCTGGCGCCGCTGCAGGCTTCTTCTCGACCGCGTCGTCGTCCACGTCGTCCACGGGGATGTCTCGCTCGAAGCTCGCGTCGTTCTCCTCCTCGCCGTTCTCTTCGCCCTCCTCGTCGTCGCGGCCGTCGGTCTCGTCGTCGCCATCCAGGAACGTCTCGAGCCAGCCAGGCGACCGCTCGCCGCGCTCCCTGGCCCTGGCTTTGTATGTGATGATGGCCTGGTCGATGTCGCGCAGCATGGCCCGCGCCATCTTCGTGCGGTCGTCGACCCGCTGCTTCTGCTCGTGCACGAGGCGCCACTTCGACTCTGAATTCTTGGCATGGCGCGCAAGCGCCGCCTTGATGCAGCCCTTGCTGTCGTCCAGCTCGATGCCCCGCAGCTGCTTGAGATGCTCGGCGTGCTCGAGCAACGCCGCCTTCTCCAAGCGGCCCGAAAGCTCCACCCAGTAGCTCGCGGTGGAGCTCTGCTTCAGCCAGCGGCTGAAGACCGCGACCAGCGCGCTGACCTGCGGGCCGTCGCGGTCCGACGCCGCCGACGGCGAGGGCGACGGCCCGGGCGAAGGCCTCGGCGAGGTCGCGCTCGACCTCGAGGCCGCGGCCTTCTTCCGCGCCTTGCCCATGGCGCGTGCAGCCTGGGCTCAGCCGAAACGAGCTTGAGCCAAAATGGCTACGACGGAATGCAGGAGAAAAGGGGGATGGGACCCGTGAGAACGGTCGCTGATGGAGGACTTTCGAGGCGCAAAGTGGGGGCGGCACAGGGGGGCTGGGACGGGCGGGCGGGCGACGAGGAAGAGGGGGGGAGGGGCAGCAGCAGCAGCGGCTGCAGGAGTAGCAGAAGGAAATTGGGGATGGGAAGGGTGGAGGATGGAGGAAGAGGAGGGGGGGTCGCGACCTTCGGGGAGGCAGCATGAAGGAGGAGGATGATGAGACGGAGGAGGAGACAGGTGAAGAGGAGAAGAGAAGGAGGAGGAGGAGGAGGAGAGGAGGAGGATGATAAGAACTTGAAGTGGAGGAGAAGAAAAGGAGGACGAGGAGGAGGAGGGAGGAGAAGAAGGAGGTGTTCCTTCTCCTCCTCCTCCTCCTCGCCTGCGCACCCTCATCTCCTCGCCTCCATCCTCCTCGTCATCCTCCTCTTCTTCCCATGATATTCCTCCTCTTCCTCCTCGACGTTCCCCCCCATCCTCCCCCTCCTCCTCCTCCTCCCCCTCCTCCTCCTCCTCCTCCTCCTCCTCCTCCTCCCCCCAGTCCTTCTTCTCCCACTCTTCCTTGCAGCTCTCCTGGCTCCCCCCCCCCCCCCCACACGCACACACACGCGCACACGCGCACGCGCACACACGCACACACACACGCACGCACGCGCACACCTCCCTGACCCGCCCGCGGGGCGGCGGCCTCCGCGCCAGATGGAAGCTCGACCGCTAGTTGTTGCAATCGAGCTTCCGCGCTCGACATGGCCCCTGCGGGCGCCCGCGCGAGGCGAGCCTTGAGCGGGGGCGCCATCAAGCCCCCTGTTCGAGCCATCGACGGGGCGGTGGGCGAGGGATCGAGATGAGACATGTTGGCTGCCAACCCTGAACGCCCACTCTGCGGTCGCCGTCGGCGGGTCTCTGGGCAAGGGCGCAGAAGAATCTCGAGGCGAATCCAACAGATGTAATTCAGCACGCGCGCCCGCTGCAATTTCGATGCGAATCCAGCATGCAATCTAGGCCGCGAGTGATCGCCACATTCCTCCTCATCATTGTATCTACCTGGTGGTGATGATCATCCTCCTTCTCCTGTGTTCCTTCTCCCTTCTGCTCCTCCTCCCCCTCCTCCCCCTCCCCCCCCTCCTCCTCTTCCTACTCATCCTATTTTTTTGAACATAAAAATTGCGCATTGCTTCAAAGTGTATAAACAACCATATAACCATCACAAGAATCAGATCCCAACGCCCGGGGTCAGACCCCAGGCGCCGGGGTCAGACCCCACGTGGCCCCGCGCCGGGGTCACCGGGGTCAGATCCTAAGACCCTCAGAGTTTGAGAATGTTAGGGGCGCCCCTGTCTTCTAGAATTTTACCGGCGCCCCCCCTCCGCGGTCGGTCGGTCCGTCGGTCGGTCGTCGTCGTCGGTTGGGTTTGTCGTCGGCCGTCGGTGGTCGTCGGTCGTCGTCGCCGGTCGGCCACTCGGTCTGTGCCCGCAGCGTGGTCGATCGGTCGCGGGGCGATCGGTCGGTCGGTCATCGGTCGTCCGTCTTCGATCGTCGGTCGTCGGGCGATCGGTCGCTCGTCGGTCGTCGGTCGTCAAAGTCGTCGGTCGTCGGTTCCGTCGGCGGGCGTCGGTGGGTTGGTCGTCGGTCGTCGGTCATCGGTCGTCGGTCGTCGGTCGACCGGTCTGTCGGTCGTAGGTCGTCGATCGCGCGTCGTCGGTCGTCGGTCGTCGATCGCGCGTCGTCGGTCGTCGGTCGTCGGTCGTCGGTCGTCGGTCGTCGTCGGTCGTCGGTCGTCGTCGGTCGTCGGTCGTCGGCCGTCGGATTCGGTGTCCTCGGACCTCGGTCGTCGGTCGTCGGTCGGTCGGTCGTCGTTCGTCGGTCGTCGGTCGGGGGTCGTCGGTCGTCCGCCGTCCGTCGTATGTCGTCGGTCGTCGTCGCTCGGTCGTCGGTCGTCGGTCGTCGGTCGTCGTCGGTCGGTTGTTACATGTTCGTCGGTCGTCACTCGTCGGTCGATCGGTCGGTCGGTCGCCGGTCGGTCGGTTGTCGGTAGTCGGTCGTCGTTCGTCGGTCGGTCGCCGGTCGGTCGTCGGTCGTCCGTCGTCCGTCGTGTGTCGTCGGTCGTCGGTCGTCCTCGCTCGGTCGTCGGTCGTCGGTCGTCGGTTGTCGGTCGTCGGTCGTCGGTCGTCGGTCGTCGGTCGGTCGTCGGTCGTCGGTCGTCGGCCGTCGGTCGTCGGTTGTCGGTGGAACTCCGGCCAATAATGCTGTTCTTACGCGCCGAGAGGGTTGACCTACCTGCGCAGCTCTAGAAGGGAGTCCTGGAAATTCGCAAGAATCTTTGGGGTCTTGGGATCTGTGTCTATTGATTGTTGGGCCCCCAGGCCCCCTCAACCTGGGCGCCGGGCTCTTCGCAGCATCTTGAGTGCGCGCGCCGGCATGGTGAATTGGGCGTCGGACCCGCTTCAACCTCCGCTGGACATGCAATTCATGCCATACTCGCATACCGCTGCTCCTTCCCTCGCTCCCTCCCGCCTTTCCTCTCTCCTTCTCTCCCTCCTCCTCCGCCTCCTCCTCCTCGTCCTCCTCCTCCTTCTCATCGTCCCCCCCCCCTTCCCTGCTCTTCCTTTTCCCCCCTCCGTCCCTCCTGGTGCTGCTGCTCCCCCTCCTCTTCCTCCTCCTCCTCCTCCTACTCCTACTCCTACTCCCCCCCTCCTCTTTTTCCTCCGTCCCTCCCCCTCCTCTGGCCCCCCTCCTCTTCTTTTTTTTCTGTTGCTGCTCCTCCTCTTCCTCCTCCTTCTCCTCCTCGTCTTCCTGCTGCTCCTTTCTTGCGCCCGTTATTTGTCCCTTCTTCTTCTTCTTCTTTTTATGTTTCTCATCCTCCTCCTCCTTCTCCTCCTCCCCCTCCTCCTCCTCCTCCTCCTCCTCTTCCTCCTCCTCCTCCTCCTTTCCTGCTCGAGCCATTTGCGGCGCGCGGGGCCTTCTGGGGGGCAGGCCCCCGCCCGCGCGGCACTCGCGCGCGCCGAGCGTGGGCGGGGCAAGCGGCCCGCCGCGCGCTCCCGCGGCTTGAGGGGCGCCCTCCAGGCAGCGAAAACCGAGTGTCCGACTAAGCAGAGTTGATTGATTGATGGGTCGGAGTGGGGGCGCGCGAGCCGAGAGCAGATGTTTCGATCCACCCGCGGGAAGCGTCGCCAGGCCTACTTGGTTTGTCGTAGCTGCCCTGGCTCATGGGTTTACTGCAGCAGAGCGGGCACAGCAGGCTGGGGGACTTGTCGGACTTGCGGAGTTCATTGGCCCAAGCAGCAGCCTAGCGGCCACAGGGCGGCCACCTTCGCGGCGCAGGGCCAGCCCAGCAACGACGGCGCCACCGCCGCTCTCCTCGAGCAGCTGTTGCCCAAGTACAAGGCTGCGAGGGCGGACAGGGACGAGGCCGCGATCCAGGCGCCGGAGGTGGTTTGCCCTGCACTCGCGGAAGCTGTCGGACCACTTCCACCAGAGGCCCCAGCAGCGCAGTTCGAGAAGCAGGCAGTTTGCTCGCGAAGGTTGCACGCCCAACAGGGGGAGCTCAATAGCCAGCTGGTGGCCAACGCCGACCACGGTAAGGAGCTTGTGAGCAAGCTGCTGGAGGAGAACGCCAGGTCGTGCGCGGAGGCTCAGGCAGAGGCCAGCCGACTCACCAGCCTCACCACCGCGGCCAAGGGCGCGACCCCCACGAAGCATGATGGCGACAGGCACGGCTGCAGCGACGCGCAGATCCAGTTCCCTGAGTTGGCCGCGGAGGACGTCGAACTGCTCGCGCCAGATCAGAAGAAGGTCTATGAGGAGGCGCTCGGCCACGCCAAGAAGGCGCATGAGGTCTACAAGAGCGCGGCGGACATCGGGCAACAGGCGCAGGGCGCGGCCAAGGCGCTACGCGAGCAACGAGAGAAGGCAACGCAGGCTAAGAGGCGCAAGGCGGACGTCGCAGCAGGCGTCGCAGCTGGAGCACCCGCGGCCCCAGAGGGGCCCGCGGAGGCGCAGGTGCAGGGCGACGCTTGCCTGGACTTCTCGGACCCCGAGAAGGTTGACGAATTCACCCAGAAGACTAAGGCCATCGAGTCCAGAGCGGCGGCGGCGGAGGCAGCCAAGGCAGCCGCCTGGCCCGCGGCCACAGTCGCGGGCGCGCCAGCTTCCACATCGGGCGGATAGCTGCCGTCAGCCAGCAGCAGCAGCCCCGCCAGTGCAGCATGCAGGGCGCGCCCCATTCGGCCGACGCAAACACGCCTCGATCTTCTTCGGGTGCGTGACTAACTATGGCCCCAAGGTGAAGCAGTTTGTTCAGGACGCCCTGTTCGATGTCGTGGGATAGGCAGATCATCGCTTCCCATCGAGAAGAGCGAAAGCTTCGCAGGCTTCTTTGGAGACCGGAGGGGGCCTGGGCGGCGGCGACGGCGACGCGTGGTCAGCTAGGGGCGCGCGCGGGGGGGCGTGCTGGCTCCGACGGGCCACCCGCCCCAGTGGCGTCCATCTCCGGGCGCCCAAGACCAAGAGCACGTACCGCGACGCGCTGCGGGACATCCCCGTGGTTCAGCGGCGTTTCCACGGCGCGACCTTCGCCTTCGTCGCGCGAGACCTGGATTGTTCGATGGGCCTGGGTGGCATGGCAAGAAGATGATTATGATTCCCCGCGTCGTCAAGTTGCCGCGGGCCCCCCGGCTGCCGGCGGGGGGCCCCGGCGCCGCGCCGAGCGAGGCGTCGCGCCCAGGTTAGCTGGTGGCGCTGCGTGGCGACATCGTCCCCCCAAGGGGCGTGGGGGTGACCTGCGCCTCTGGCGCGGTCCGCATGATTGACTGCGCGATCGCGCGTGCCGGCTACCGCCCCTTCGCGCGAAAAATCTCACTGGTCCAGGCGATGCCGCGGGGGCCGCGCGTAGGCTTCGACATTCGCATCACCTCGAGTCCTGCTTCTGCCCCCCCCAGGGCCCCAATGCCCCCCCGCGCCTTTGGACATCCCGGAAGGAGAGGCGCGAATCCAGGAAGGTGTCAAGCGTTCCCAGATGGGCCGACAGAGGCACGCGATGCTCTTGGAGGCAAGGAAGGAGCAGGACATCCTCCAGCAGGGCGTCCTGTTCGACGACGAGGACGAGCACCTGCTGGGCGACCGCTGCGCCGAGGCCTGCCGCGCAGCGCCCCGCGTCAGCGAGGCGCTGGCCAAGCGCTGCACTGTGTGGGCTGTAGCGGCAGAATCGCAATTGCCGGATCTGTGCAGCGTTGAACTCCGACGCGACGCAGGGCGCGGCTTGCGCGCGAAGTATCAGTGAGGCAAGGCGGTCAGTCAGGCGAGAGACGCCAGCTTTGGACACACCAGCGCCACCGATAATGATAATAAATGGCAGAGTCTACATGCGCGATTCCATGGACAGCTCGTTGCGCTAGCGCAATACCGACATCCACAGTGCCCACGGGGGGCGCAGACCGTCGTGAGGAAGCTCGTCGAGGACCCATGTCAGCATCATGAAGGAGAAGGCCCCTTACCTCCAGGACGTGGGCAGGACCACCGGGGCAAGTGGAGTGGACGCCGAGATGTTGCAGCAGTGCTTCATCGAGGTCAGCTCCTACGACGCTGTGCAGACTACGGACTGCGGCAGAATTTAGCAGCGCGCGTTCACGCGAGAACATTGCGACATTCCATCTTAGCATGGCAGCAGACACGGAGCGATATCGGCACGCGGGCGAAGCTGAACGCGCAGGGCCCCATGAAGGGCGCCCACCGCTACCTGAAGAAGAACGAGCAGAGGGCGCTGGACGAGACCTGCCTGGACCCCGACACGCTGGAGGTCTGTGATACGGTTTCAGAGCACTACCGCGCTGCCGAGACCAGGGCGGCTTGCTGGAAGGCGAGGTGGACATCCCAGTCCCGCCGACTACCAGCGGTCCGTGCTGCCCTCGGGGAGCCCCGACCCCGCGCCACCGAGGGGCTGGCAGTGCGGCCGCGCCGCAACGGGCGAGGCTTGGTAGCAGTGCTCGAGTTTCCCGTGGACACCAGACAGGGGCTCGGACCAGTGGAAGCCGAACCAGCTCCTCGCGCTGTAGGGCCAGGGGCAGGAGAGCTTCGTGGCCATCCTGAACGCGGCTGAGAGATGGCTGGCTTGGTCACACCAGTTGCTGCGCATTTTTGTTTGCGCGCCTCCAAAGGGCGGCGAATCGGTGATCGGCAACGAGCGCGACGTCGGCCTCCTACCCATGCCCATCCGCATCTGGGGCCGCAGGATCGAGAGCCCCTCGACCGAGTGGTGCGGCAAGAGGGCAGCCCATTGGGGCGCGGCCGTCAAGGGCAGCAGCGCCCATCAGGCCGCGCTCGATCAGGTCTATGGTGATGGATGGGGCCAGGGCGCGCATCGGCTACAACGAGCAGAGCAACTTCCTTATAGGCGTGGAGAGGTTCAATGACTATATGGACATGACTCTGATGATACGCCAGGCGACCGCGCTGGATTTCCCAGCGGTGGAGCTGCACTTGCGTCGTGCCACGTGCCTGGCGACGCGTGCGAGTCGAGCCCAAGGGCGCCCGCTGAGGCCATCGTGCCTGAATGGTTCCATCGTGCCTGGCTGTGGCAAAGCCAACCATTGTGAAGGGCGTTTTTGCGCCGTCTCCTTGGGCGCGCGCGTGCACGGGCGCCCCTTTGCCAGCATCCGCCAACATGTGGGCGACGTGCGCGCGCGATTTGAGAGGCCCGCTGCAATGGTATTGGAGCAGACTAAGTGTGTGACCATCGGGTTGTTTCAATGCGTGATGGGCCTGGGCCTCCGAGCATCGCCAAAGTCTATCCTCGCGATGTTTAACCCAGCCGGCGAGATCAAGGTCCAGAAGCACGCGTTCAAGCTGACGGGCATCGAGATCAAGGGGGCGAGGTTGGCCGAGGACCTGGGATCGACTGCGCCATGGGCCGACAGCGCAATTGCAAGACGACCCATGGTTCAATGATGGTTGGCACAAGCACGGGCGGCGCGTGCCATTTCACGTCGGAGAGTTGGGGGGGGGGGGGGGCGGCAAGCGGGCCAAGGGAGTCATGCTGCGCAGCGCCAACACCGAGGCCAAGTACACATGCGCGGACCCAGCGACGGGGGCGCACCACCGAAGACGAAGGTGAGGAGAGCACGGGCTGCTGATCTTGCTGGTCGTACCACGGGAGGGAGATGCACTGCCACTACGATGCTGCTACACTGCCAGGATGACGAGCCCAAGATGAGTGCGATGCTGGACCAGGTGAAGAATTGGTTCCGCTTCTGGTTGGCGAGGCCGCCGCTCCGAGAGCGAGTCCGACGCGGATGGGTCGCAGTGCCGAAGAAGATCATTTCCGCGAGACCGAGAGCGAGATGGATATGCGTCGTTTGGCCAATGGGGGCGTTGATCTTGAGCCTCCGCGAGATGGGCTCGGCACCGCGAGCGCTGGACCTCTGGGTCGACGATCGAGGCGACGAGTGGCAGCACTTGGGCGGCGAGGGCGCCTGTGGCGAGATCTTCCAGGCACTTCGCGGGTCTGTTCGGCGAGAGCGTTGGCGCCGGGCAGCCGGGCATTCAGAAGGGGAGCTCGTGGAAGGAGGTGGCTTGCAAGTGCTGCGAGTCAACCTACGCCGTCTGCGCAGACGGGGCTGCCATCGAGAAGCAGGAGCGCTGGAGGCCAACGCGCTGGCCAGCGTGCGGGCGCAGGCTCGCGCCAAAACAGCGGGCTACAAGCGCGATGATGCATGTCCGAGATGCGAGCCAGGGCGAGACACGATCGCCCACCGCCTGTGCGAGTTCTCGGCGAACCGCCAGCGGGAGCACAGGTGGGCGAGCAGGACTGACGGACTGTGCGAGGCTGCGCAGAAAGACCCCAGTGAAGGGCGGAACGTCAGCTCCTGGACCCGCGGGACCGCTCCCCCGCCCTGGGACCCAGTGCCCAAGTCCCCCGAGTGGAACTCTGGAG